CAGGTGTGCGAATGGGAGTAAAAATTCAGATAACGTATAAATATACGCTTCTGAATCTTGTCTTCCTTCCAAAAAGGCCAACTTTGACTTGCCTTGGCTCGAAAACGCCCCCCAAACCATCACTGACCCGCCGCCGTTTTGGCACTTGGATAAGTAATCCCTTGGTCGGTCCATGACTGCCCAGTAATAGTTAAAACCATCGAGACCATCAAGGTTCCATTTCTTTTCATCTGACCAAACTATTTGGTCAAACCGATCAACCTAATGTTGCGACTCAGTCGCCCATTCAACACGATTTCTCGTTTGTAGTGGCGTCATCATTGGCGCTGCGAGTTTCTTCTTGTACTTTACCTGACCGCTCTTGGTAAGCAGCTGACAGACTCGTCGACGTCCTATGTCGACGTCCAGCTTTTCAGCAAGCTCGGCCGCAGTAATTTTTCCGATTTTTGCGGTTCGAAGTGTTGGGGTTAGCCAGAAAGTTGTGAATACAACCGCGCGAACTCTGCATGGCCTTCGCGATGCTCGTGTCGCTTTGTCCTTCTCTTGAGAGCAGCAAAATCTCAAGTTTTTCGTCGTCGGTAAATGGGGGCCCTTTTGGCATCGTAACTGGCACTTTGGTGAGCAAGAGAGCACATTGGTACGTTCTCTTACCTGAATAGAGCTGTGTAGGCGCGTTTCAGTGCGCATCATAGTCAGTAAGTTCGAAAATGACTACTGACTTCATGTGTGTCATATATTTCTTTCCTAACCTAAAACCTTCTTCTAGTCAGATTTGATTTTCGCGGCAATCCTGGCGCGGGAATGCATGTGCTATCGACAGCAAAACTCAAGAGAATTTGTTTGGTCATATTTCCATGCCATTTTGACTAATGAGGCAAAAGAAACGCCAAAAATCGATATGTCATATGTTTATTGCCACTACTTTAGGTTCATCCTCAATACAGTCAAGTCTCCCATGAAGGCAAACAAGTTTAAGAGGTTTGAATATTAATAACGAGAGGAATAAGTTTTCACAAGTCCATTAAAACTGAAGTTATAATCCATCAGTACAAACGTCTAGTGAGTTATGAAATGGATGGACGTCGGATTCAAGTGCACACTTTGGACACCCTCGGCGAGCTTCTCCATGGCATCACCAAGGATGTTGGTATGGCGCCAGCAGTTCGAAATCGTCGACGATTCGACCTCGCTTCATGCCTCCTTAGCCGACTGGATTGCGCTTTACATGTCAACCTTGTGCATTTCAGCGATTTCCTGCCGCGAGGGCACAGTTCCCGCTGCCTTGTGGAAACGACGGATTTCCTCGAACTTGGTAAGCACATACTTCGTCTTTCGGCGCTGAATCTTCTTCTTGAGTGCAGCGATCGCGCCAGCGTCCAAAGGCTGGAGGTACCCAGTCGTGTTTGGAGGAAGAAACCGCACGTTGAAGTTCGACAGGGTCTCAGGCAACTTGTGCGACCACGGTCCTGCGCGACCATCTACTCGTTGAACGTTTTGAGCCACTCGCCGAAAATGCTCGAGGTCATCCAACCCTTGGAGCTGCTTGAGTAGTCGATGTTCATGTCAGTTGTAGTGCGGGCCCCGAACCACCGCGGACGCGCCGATCGACCGATGATTTTGAGATCGAGCGCATCTGAACCATCCGCATTCACAGCGGCAGCAACGGTCAGTCGGTTCT